TAATACAGAGTCACCCTCACAATATACTGCTCTGTTCTTTGTACTTAAATTATCTGAGACATTTCTCAGTCTTTGCCTTTATAAAATACCGTGACATTGAACAATGCCTGATCTGTGCAGGACTGCAGCTATAGCTTGTGCCCTGTTTCTGATTCACATGTGCCTGTAGTTACAATTGTGTGCTCCTTGTTGCTTGTTATTCTTTTAGGACAATTGCCAGGTGTCGATATTAAGTAGGAATGGTCAGACTGACCTGTCTTGTTACTAAGTGCCAGGAAAGGGGTATGTGTAAAACAACTTCTGTACCTCCAAGCAGGAGCAAACACTTGCGCCAGTAACACATCTCTGCACTTGTTTTGTTTTGTTTTTGAGTTCCTATTTGATGAATGTCTTCCAGCACCACCAGTTTTATAAGATTTGGCTGTGTGGAAAGAGCGAAGAGAGCAGGTTGTTTTGAAGTGGATCCCTTATCCATTTCCTTACTTACAGAAAGACTTTGATTTCAGAAGTGTCCAGGGAATCCTGTCACTGCATTTATGTTAACTACGATGGATGCTTATGTCCAAAACATGATGATTGCTCAGATCCTTTGTATTTCTGTCCTGGGTTCAGCAGTAGCAGTCATTTTTCTCCTTCTTAGTAGCTGGTGCAGTGCTGTGTTTTGACTTTCGGCCTGGGAACAGAGCTGATAACACTGATCTTTTGATCTGGCCAAGGACTTTTCTGAGCCTCATGCTCTGCCAGAGAGAAGGGGAAGCCAGGAGGAAGCAGAGACAGGACACCTGACCCAAACTGACAAAAGAGGTATTCCATACCACAGCACGTCATGCCCAGGATGTATCTGAGAGTTACCTGGAAGGGCTGGGACTGCGGGGTTGGATGAGGTATGGGGTGGTGCTTGGTCAGGCAGGGGGGGGTGAATTATTAGTCGGCTGGTGCTGAGGTATTGTATTCTCTTCCCTTGTTATTTCCTTTATCATTACTATTATTGGTGGTAGCAGTAGTGATTTGTGTTATACCTTAGTTACTAAACTGTTCTTATCTCAACCTGTGGGTGTTACATTCTTTCGATTCTCCTCCCCATCCCTCCGGGAGCGGGGAAGGGGGGTGGGGGGTGGGTGGGAAGGAAAGAAAGAGGGAGGAAAAGGGGGGGAGTGAGTGAACGAGCTGTTTGGCTGGGTTTAAACCACGACAACTCTGCCCCTTAATCTCACATAAACATCATGGATTTGGTAGAGTGCAGCTCACATGCCTGAAGCAGTTCTGCTACTGATCATTGCACTGGATGTGCCTCCAGTATGTCCAACTTATTCATCTGTTTCTGCCTTGCACCCAGATATCTGAACTCTGCTGCAGTTTTGAAGCATGAAAAGCATCTGTGATTTTTGAACTTGTGGGATGGTTTCAATGACTCAGTGCTCCTTCTACAGTTTTCAGTGTCATTAAAATATTTATGGACTTTTATAGAACAAATTTGCCTGCATTAAGAGTCTGCAGGTGTTGGCAGCAAACACAACTGAATTGGCTTATCCAAAATTATCCAAATTTTGTTTTGGTATGTTAGAGGCAGCATATCAGTACCATCTTAAGTCAGACTTTTAAAAAAGTTTAGACATATGACTAAGTTTGATCCATCAGTTATAACTCATGATTCATATTGTCCTTGTGATCATACCATTCAAAGGCTTGCTGTATGATTTAATCTTAAAACCTGTCCTGTCTTGTGTTAAACAGGACTTTCAGGTTACTGTTAGTAATGTTACTGGCATTGCATTTGTTTTGGAGTTTTCCTTGATAAATTTACATCTCTGACCATAATCTGTCTATAATACATAGCTCCACATCAGCAACCAAACTTTTTCATGTGGGGAAGCATACACTTTCTAGATGAAAGAGGGCTTTTAAAAAATCATTTATAGGGGCAGGGTTTTTTTTCAAGTGAAATTAGGTAAAATGGTTGGACTATCTAATAGTCATTAAAACCACTAACGTAGCAATAAATAGACTTACACCACATATATAAGTTGATAAATTAATCTTTCCCTCCCTGTCTGCACCTGACTTGCAAATACAGATGTTTCTCCTCTATAACCTCCCATGTTTCTAGCTTGACTGAAGATTCTTTGAGAAAAATCTCAATCTTGTCTGTCTAGCTTCAGTTAATGATTATTTCCATTTCTAGAGGTGGTGCTTTTTGCTTTGATTTTAATATTGTGTTCTGAGAGCCTGCAGACACATACCTAAGAGACATAATTAAAATGTTTAGCTACAGTATGTCTTCCTTTAGATTAACTAGCTGTCTGCATGTAACAGACCACAAATGAAGAACAGTACTTTCTGCATGCTCAGTTCTCCCTCCTTCCTCCCTCCATCAGCAAAGTTTTCAGCCCATGTATCCCTTGGGGTGCCTTTGTAAGCAGCATCTTAAAGGTTACTCCTAGAGCTTGGCTAAATGTTACCAGTTCTTTAGGGAGAGTGACAAAAATACCCACTAATGCGGAGCTGAAATCTTTTAAGTCTGGTAAACCTTCTGATAATAAATAAGAAATACTTTGCCTCTAATATTTCATTTTATGCTTTAAAGTGCACCTGCTCACCTATGCTTTACAAGCAAAATTAAACATTAACAGCTTCTCATTAGTATTATAAGCCTCTTGGGAACATCAAGCTTCAGGAAAAACTATTTACATCAGTGTATGGTTGAGTGTTCAGAATAAGAAAGGGTGTATAGAACTGTACAAGAGAGTGCACCTTTGGCTTGTTGGTTTGAATTGGGAGCAGCTCAAATTTTGTAACCTTAAACTGATAGCTAAACCTACAAATCAAAATTTAGAAACTTGTAGTTGTAGAAACAAGCCCATGATGGCAAGCAATATTGTTAACCTTGGTCGGAAGGGTAGTGATCTGCTTCACCTGGGCAGGTGTTTTCCTAAGACCTGGGAAGATAAAGGAATTGAGGCCATCTGAGCTGAGCATGCCCAAAAGGCAAGATTTCATACTTGAAGGGGTTGGCTTGGTGAGTATCATGGCGTGAGCTGTTGCCTTATCTGGCTAGGACATTTAATGTAGAAATGTGTGCATGTGTTTCACGCCTTCAGAGGAGGTTGCATGTGTTGCACAATGAATCCTGCAGCTAGTGATATTTCTCTTGCAATGTTTCAAATTTAAAATTCCTTGAAAATCAAAGGATTTTCAAGAAATGTAAGCATGTGTTGTGCTATTGAGTGTCCTTTCAGATTGGAATTGTTCTGAGTGGTATTACCTCATAAAATGCTCTCTTTCTCTAATGGATTTGTTTCTGGCTAATTGGGTGAACTTCAGTTACAGCACACATAGCTATAAATAGTGCAGATTTTCAAAGAGCATAGCCACGATGTTTTGATGGTGTAAGTGCTAACATTACATTTCTGGCTATGAAATTCTGCTGCTCTTCACGCATTTAGGCACATAAATGCCATCACGTGCATTTTATTTAAAAAATATTACAAAGTTGCATTGTTAACAAGAGAAACAAGATTTAAAGAGCCAGCACAAACACATCACAAATGTTAAAATAGTGTAGCTTTAAAATATGCTTATTAGATCTCATCTTAAAATCAACTTTTCAATCTGTCTGTGGCTAACCTTTGTAATTTTGTTACCACAGTTGGGAAAACCACCCTATGACTTCCCACCTGTATAAGGAGCTTCTGGATTTCTGAACTTACATGGCGAGTTGCTTGTGTCCTGACATATGCCAGTTTACCAGGGTTAAATAACTAGGTTCAGGAATGTGTTTGGCTAGAGATTTTGGCAACTCAGTTTGTTGTGTTTGGGTGTGTGTATGTACTTCTGAATGTATGGGTAACAGTGTATGCTCAAGATTTTTTTGTCGGTCTGGATAATCATTAAGATTAGCAGAGGCAGCCGCATTGGGTGATTTCCCTTCAGAGCTAAACACTGTTTATGTGTAAAGCATAATTTCCCACCTTTTCTCTTGCGTGAGATGTATAATTTTGGAAAAAAAAATGGAATTTGGGGGTATCGGTGCGTGGATCTAGATGATGAGAAAAGGCTGTGCTGCAAATGGTGCATTTATGATGTATCTGAATGGGACTCATGAGAACTGGAGCATGCAGTTGTTGTTGCCATTGCTCTTGTGGGCCTTCCTGACAGTCCCGACCATAACTTCTGTTTGTGAGCAGAACGGAGCAGTGGCTGGTCATGCTATGGTCTCTCACTAATGGGATGTAACTAGTGACCTAGACAGGAGGCTTGCAATGTAAGGTTTTAGTTCCCTAGGTGAAAATTTTAGGAGCCTTGAGCTGCCCCTCAGATGTTAATTTGATTAGATAACCAGTGTTGGTTTGCTTTCTGAAGAGTAGCAGAGATTTACCCTCTTACCATCATCTCTGCTTTCACAGAGATTGAGAATGCGGTGGCTACCACAGCAGAAAAAACGCTTCTAAAAGGATATTTATAGGACTGAGCTTTGTACATCAGTATTAAGATTATGAAGATAAAAGCTGAGATAATATGCAAGGGGGTCTCTGCACATCCTGGAATCCTCTTTCTCCCCTGAACTTTGACTTTTCCAAATTCCCACTTCCTTCTATTTCAGGAAAAAGTTGCCTCATTATATAGAAAAATTCTTGTGCAAGGAAAAGTAACCGCCGAATGTAGCAGGTATAAACTTATAATTTCCCTCCAAGAATAATCTTTTGGTTCTTCCATGGCATTCCTGCATTGCATTGAATTAGTAATGTGGTGATCGAGGAACCTAGCAGAGTTTTCTGTGGTCTTGTTGAGACTAACACAGGTTTTTCAGTTGGCTGTCTCAGCTTGTACACAATACCTTTGGAGTGCATTTGGTATGCACAAATCTGTTTTCTAATGTGAAAAACATTTTACCAATACCCACATGAAGGAGTGTGTTATACACAAGCTCCTTTGTTTAAAATTAAAGGACATGGGCAAAAATAAGGTTGTCCATTAAAATTTGTATGTTCTTTTCAGAGTCAGTTCTGGATTTTTGCCACATGGAAGATCTTGCCTAGTGTTCAGATTGAATTGCACTAAGGTGTGGTAAAAATGTAAATGAAAGCTGTACAGACAGCCATGGGAATCACTTGTGAACCCTGCTACTAAACAAATTGAATTTCAAAAGCTGAATTCCAAATTCATCTCTGAGACAAGTCTTCTCAATCTACCAAAAATGCCTCATATATGTTGCACTGGTAAAGCAAAGTATTTTAAATTAATCTAAGCTGTGTCAGACTTGCCAGTTTCTAACATGAGACTGTAAAAAAAAAATAGGGTTTTTTTTCCCATCTTTAGGAAAAGATTTTCTTTCTTTTTTTTCTTTTCTTTTTTTTTGTGGCATCTCTATATTTGTCTTGTTCTCTTTTCCCCTGCTAATATTTTAGAGACAGTTGAATGCTCAAGAGGAAAATTATTTGTTGTAGGCTTCAAAATACTGTACATGCTTTCACTGCAAATATATTATCATTGAGTCTACAATGGCTATTTTTTATTTAGGAATTGTCTATATTGATCTTCAAAGAGCCTATCATGTGTGCAAGTATTTTAAGCAACCGTGTACAAGTTGATTCAAAAATACATCCCACACAAAAAAGTTTTATATCTTTATTTTTTTTTAATCTTCTTTTTTCCCCTCACTATATGAATCTGACACTTGCATTTGATCAAATGCTGTACAGAACTCTGTATTAAAAGTTTTGGGTGGAATGTTTTAGTTATGTGAAAAGCTACAGAAGACTTGGTCAAATCTGTGGTAGTAATCTTATTGCTAAGTGACATTTGTGATATTTTCATTTTGTGATATTTTCCTTAAAAATTTCTTACAAAAATTCCTGGTGCTTTGAAGGCAAGCAATGGCTATGGGACCCACCCCCACTGCAAAATGTTACACGTTATATTCCGTAGAATTCTCCACATTTGTATTTTATGGCTGCTGGATATTTAATGGTAATGGTGAGCAGCAGAGAATAGAAATCTGATGCACTGTCATTTTGAAAGTGTTCTGGATCTACAGCATCTGTTCTAATTTGCTGGCAGTCTCAAGCTTGTCCAGAGACAGTAATCCTTTACCAATTAGGTTTCATGAGGATGAGATGAGAGTTTGTGGTCAGGTATATAAATTAAAATTATGATGCCTGGTAAAGTTCAGAGCCACAGAAAACCCAAGGGAGTGTTGTTTATAGCTCCAAAGCAGTTTAAATACTGTGATTTAGCTTAACTGGTATGATTCACAGAGGATCATCAGAAGGAAAGAAAAAAAAGCAAGAGATGCTAAATTGAATGAGGTGTGACCATCTGTTTTCATACTGGGGCAGAAAGTGGGGTTAAGGTTAGAGATACATTGGTGTGCAAGGACAGCATTTCAAATCTGGTGGTGGAAATGATGTTGGAGCTGCTTTAAAAAAAATGGGGAAAAAAATTGTGATTTGAGATAAAAAGGCTACTCCTGCAATCAGTCTAATCACACATCCTGGTACTTGAAGCCTTACTGTCATCTTCTTTTGAGAGTCACAGTTAATAGCTGCATTCAAAACAGGTGGTGTGTGCGTGGGGGGGAAGTGTGCATTTTGAACTCTGGTTTTGGGCCTACCACTGCATTTCATCTTTTTAAACAGTTTGGTAAACCTGATGTGGAAGGTTATGCACTAATTTGTCTTGTACAGCATCCAGCAATGTCCTTTCTTAGCAGTACATAGGGCAAGGAAAAGAATCCTTTGGTTGTAACATCCTGTCGCAGATCAGCATATGTAGCAAGATGTGCCTTATTTCTTTAGCTATATTTTGAGAATAAATGCAAATAGAATAACTGTGTAGTTGACCAATTTATTTGCACAAATGAGCTACTTGGCATGAGCATTGCTATGAAGGTACTTTTTTAATGGATAAAAATGATCAAAAATGATGTTTAGATATTTGGTGCATTTGTTGGTTAACACTCAGACAAGAGTGCCATCCTGGGAAGATGCATCATGTTGATGATGATTTATACTAGGGGAGAAAAATTATTAAATACTGCTCCATTTAAAACCCCACCAACCAACCCCCCCCCAAAAAAAAACCCCAACCAACAACAAACTCCACTTCCCCCCAAAAAACCCAAAAAACCTTAAAAAATATCATGCTCTGTAATTACTACTTGGACTTGAAAAAGATTGGCCATGGAGCTACAAATAGTTAGATATTGACATAACCTGTTTAATTATGAAACATATAACACTGGAGGTAAACAGTATATTTACTTCCATGTTTATGGGTATGAAGTTCTACATGGCTATATTGTATGCTAGCTTTTGTATAGAAGCACAGTGAATGAGAGCAGATTATTTGACTTGACATACAAAACCAAGGTAGATTTGTTTTTTCCACATCCCACTGTTCAAAATTCTGCAGTTGTTCTGAATTTGAAATTTCCTTGAAGATTTTAAAATAAGATTGCTTAGATAGACCCAAAGGAAATCATTAATCTTTGAAAGAGGCTTTTTTGTTTGTTTGGTTTTTTTTCCGTGGAATAAATTGTGTCATCACAAATGTCTCTGTCAGATATTGATGGATCAGATCAAAATTTGCTGAACCTGTTAATGACGATTCCATGATTTCTCATTTTTTAAAAATCTGATTTGAGTGAAAAGTACAGTATAATTCTATTCATCATCATTATTGTTATGATAAGGACTAATTCTTTAAAGATCTTAAAATATTCCCTTATCTGTGCTATCAAAGAAACTTGACATTCTCTACAAATGTGCATATATTAGCTGAATAGGCTGAGGGACAACACATGCTGCTTTGATAGAGCGATTAAACTTAACAAAAAAATTATTTCGTAGAGACTGGACAAGTAAAAGGCACCAAAATTCCTGCTACCTCTTTTATTTGTGGTTGATAAAAATGTTCACAGAATGACATCAGCTGAAAAATGAATGTCTTTCCAGCAGAAATTATTTGCTGTATACAAATGCTAAAAGTATTTTTGGGAAATACTACTGCAAAACCCCACTCAGAGTTGGCTGGATATTGGCTTTCCCTGTGCTTTTGTCTGTGGGTCAGTGATGTGCTTCTCAGGTGTAGTCTGAGAAAAGCCAAAATCTGCCTGTTTGGAAGAGCCCAGAAACTCCATTGCAGTCCTTCCATCTTTAGAATAAACATGTTTCCTGTGAATGCCTCTTAGAGGTCTGTTAAAAGTTTCTGAATCACAGGGCTTGAGACATAATGGTGATTATCACAGTATCACAGTATGTTAGAGATTGGAAGGGACCTCAGAAGATCATCTAGTCCAATCCCGCTGCCGGAGCAGGAACACCTAGATAAGGTTACACAGGAACGTGTCCAGGCGGGTCTTGAATGTCTCCAAAGAAGGAGACTCCACAACCTCCCTGGGCAGCCTGTTCCAGTGTTCTGTCACCCTCACTGAGAAGAAGTTTCTTCTCAAGTTTAAGTGGAACCTCTTGTGTTCCAGTTTGTACCCATTTCCCCTTGTCCTATCATTGTTTGCCACTGAGAAGAGCCTGGCTCCATCCTCGTGACACTCTCCCCCTTTATATATTTATATACACTAATAAGGTCACCCCTCAATCTCCTCTTCTCTGAACTATAGAGACCCAACTCCCTCAGTCTTTCCTCATAAGGGAGATGCTCCACTCCCTTAATCATCTTAGTTGCCCTGCGCTGGACTCTCTCCAGCAGGTCCCTGTCCTTCTTAAACTGAGGGGCCCAGAACTGGACACAATATTCCAGATGAGGTCTCACCAGGGCAGAGTAGAGGGGAAGGAGGACCTCTCTCGACCTGCTAACCACCCCCCTTCTAATACAACCCAGGATGCCATTGGCCTTCTTGGCCACAAGGGCACAGTGTCGGCTCATGGTCACCCTGTTGTCCACTAGGACCCCCAGGTCCCTCTCCCCTACACTACTCTCTAACAGGTCGTTCCCCATCCTATACTGGAACCTGGGGTTGTTCCTGCCCAGATGCAGGACTCTACACATTATACTCGCATTGATCACTTGACTGCAGCTCAAAGGGAAAGCAATCCTTTTTTTGAACTTTGGCAGTGCTCTTGGGATGTGGGACAGCATGGACGGAGAGTGTGTTTGAGATTGCCTCCTTTTTCCCTCTTGCTGACAGCAAGTGTAGGATCAGGCTTGAATTAAGTGCCATAGGTTTCCCCAAATGTACAACTGTTTCTTGAACACAATCCCACTTGCAAACGTACCAGTTTGTCATGACTACATCCACTGCTTTCCAGTTCTCCCAGTGCTGTGACCTTGGATTGGGTTTGCCATCTGCTGCCTGAAGTCAGAACTGCTGCAGCTGACATGTGCGAAGGCTTGCGACAGTTTCACCCTGTATTAATCCCACCAAGAGGTATGGAGAAACCCAAGGTGTGGGTTTGTCAGTGTTATATACTAGTGATTCAATGGCCTGCAAGACATGTACCAATAAAAGTAGTGTTGTCTGGTCTAAACCTGTCTTCTCTGTAGGTAAAAGGTGGGGAAAAAATAAAAGACTGCTATCTCAATAAATGACTTTTGTTCTAGGTGGGTGAGTTGCTGGTTAGAGTGGTCCTTGTAAGACTAGAAACAAAAAGCAGTGTTTGGAGGTGATAACTGTGAAATGCTTATTCTTTCCTTGCCTGAAGTAGGTTGTGTTGGATAAAATAGCCTGTTGCCTTTCAGCTTAGATGTAGGATAGTAAAGAAAATTAAGCACAAACTTCATAGCAGTGTAAGATGGTGTTCAGGTCCTGTGAGGGAAGAAGTGAGAGAGGCTAAACTTAGGGGTTCTACTACCTTCTGCAAGCCTAGTAACAAACTTGGGCAGTGGGGAGGGGAGCGAGGTGTACACAACACAATCTGGTAGTATCTGGAATTATACCCTATTCTCAGTTAGTGTTTCAGAGACTCAAAATTCATTAAAAATTTATTGGGGGGGGCGGGCAGAAACAGCGTGTATTGCTTTATTTGGTCTTTTGTACCTCTCTATGCGGTCCTTCTCTGCAAACACAGTACTTCTCTAATTCATAACTTGTCTTGCCTAGAGCCGAGTGGTCTCAAAGGTGGGAGAAGCACTCAAATATTCCACATCTACCTTTACATCGCTTTTGTTTCCAGTTATACCAAGCACCTTGAGCACTACTTGTGATCTGGGCCAAAGTGTCTTTTCCAGCTCCCATTACTCTCATTTTTATTATATGCAAACA